CGCTGATCAAAGAATTTAACCTCTAGATTACAGAAGCAGACAACTGGAAAGATGTAGGCTTAGCCACTTGAATTCTGTGTTTTAAAACTGTGTTTTAAAATAGGTTTACGGATAGGAAACTACCCAACTTGAGGAGGAGACCAGCTGATTTCACGGGGAGATTCTGGAGCTGGCTGCCTTTTTGCGGGCTGATTAAAGTGCCCCCCCACCCCCATACACACCTCCTAGCTGAGGGGCCCTGGTGGCCCTGCTCCTCACTGCTGATTGGTTGTGAGGGCTTTCTGTCATGCAGCCCTGTCCCTTGCTGCCAATTGGAAGAGAGGGGTGGGACCACAGATAGCCCCCTCAGCCAATCAGTGGCGAGGGCCAGGAGTGGCAGCCATCCTGGGCTTCCCCTTGTATTGGCAGCACCTTTTTCCCCAGGAAATTAAAAATTAATTCCCACCCCCCAGGGCAGTGCTGGGTTTCATGCTTTCCATAAAATCCACAAAATTTGCAATTTTGGTAGGTCACTGCTTATGGATCTTATGTACGTAAGTCCTAAAGCAGACTACAGTTAGTCATTTTTAACAAGTATTTGAATGGTTGAAAGGACTTAAGAATAGATTCTGATGGGATGCACTGATAAAGGTTTTCTGGCCTATACCAATGGCTGATTAATAACCAGCCGGATCGGCTGATATCGATACAATTGCCAATATGCAGTCCAGCAGCTTGGAGAGTAGCATCCAGCTGGCAAGGTCGCAGGCTGATTTGAGACCCCCACAATGAGGGAGGGAGTGGAGCTGGGGCGGGGAACAGAGCTGCAGGCAGCTTGTGTGGGGGGATAGGGAGGGAAGGCAGCTCCTTGCTGCTGTGTGTACCCCCAGGGGAGGCATGGGGCACATGTACCCCACCTGGATTTGTGCATGGGGTGAGGGTGGGCTGCTTGCTGCAGGCTCAGGGCCAGGGGCTACACTGGCTCCTTTCTGGCTGGGGCTGCACTTGGGGCGGGTGGCAGAACTGGGTGAGGGGGGCTATGGTGATTTTTGGGGTGGCTATAGCCCACCCTGTAGCCACTTCTCTTAGCACCACTGCTGCCTGCCCCTTTCCAAGTGCATCCCTAGCCTAGCCCCTCCTTCAGGAAGAGGCAGGCACAGCCCCTGGCCCTGAGCCTGCAGCAGGCAGCCTGCCCACAAATCTGGGGGCACATGCCTCTCATGCCTGCCCCAGCTGTGCGTGCAGTGGCGGAGAAGCATCCTCCTTCCCCATCTCTGGTGCCCTTGGACAAGCTGCCCACAGGTCCAGCCCACTGCACCTTGGCTCTGCAGCACCTGCCCCAGTCCCACTCCCTCCCTCACCGTGGGGGCCTTGATTTGTCCCCCCTTCCCTCCCCATGACCCTTTCTCCCCACAGGCTTAGTGCCTGGATGCTGCTCTCCAAGCTGCCGGGCTGCACTCCTGGCCATATGCATTCTGCAGTTGCACGCAGCATTTATCAGCAACATTATCAGCTACACCAGCCAAAAAAGGCCGATTGCCAATAATGTCAATTTTCTTTTTATCGGTGCTGATCTGGTATGGACCAATATATCAGTGCACCTCTAGATTCTGATTTAATTACACAAATGTAAATTAGGAGTAACACTATTAAAGTCACCGACTTAGCCTTCAAGATGTGAATATAAATGACAGAAGGACATGGCCAGTCACATGCACCTACCTAGAAGGTAACTTTGTTCTTCCACTATTCTTTACAAACGTGTTGAACTAGAGTATCTTTCATGTAGTCTCTGTTACATGGTGGCAAATCAGGAAATCCGTTTATATTTAACTAGTGTTGTACTGAGAGAGGCTAATTAAATGATGAGTTTCCACTGTTCTGCATATACTGTGTTTTACGTATGCTCTATGGGGAATCAGAGAGAAAAGGAATTCCTTTCAAACTGGCTTCTGTTCAGGATGTGTTGGTGCACTGCTTTGCTTTCAGGCCTCCCTGTTTTCGCCCATCTTGGCATCATCAGAGTGAACAATGTGTTAGTCATTTCAAACATAGTTTTATTATGAATGTAAAATACTCCCAGGTCTGGAAAAAATTTTGGAAGTGAGCATAGCTTGTGTAAACATTGCAGCCTGTTTTCTTTTCTTTTCTTTGTGTAGATAGCAGGCGCATCACCTGCCCTGTTGGTAACCTTTCTGTGCTGGGCTTTGCCCTGTAGTTAAAATTTATAGCTTGGATTTAATGAGTTTATAATGTTAATTATCTTCCCATTCAGCCGGCGCAGCTAAGCACTGATACTGTACAGTTCATATATGCAGAATGGTACATAGGAAGCCATAAAGCAATATATATGATGACATCTAGCAGAAAATGAGGATCACCTTGACTTGGGGTTTGGTTAGTTTAAATTCAGTCATGAGCTACTGAGCACTGTTTCAGAGAAGAACTGGTGACATTTTGAGAAGTCCGGTGTCTCTTAAAACTAATCACGAATACGTGTTACGTCATTAGAACATTGGAAATGTAGGTATACCAGTGATGTTTAGCACACTTACATTTTTGGATTTTAAAAGAGCAAGTGGTCTCTCTCTCAACTTAAAACCATGCCATTGTGTTTTCTGCTATACTTTTCTTGCTCTTCAGTTCCATTGCCTCCAAGTCCTTGAGGTTTATACATAAAGGCCCAACGCTGCATTTGGAGAGGCCTAGTTGCAAGATCAGGGACAAAGTGCTTATCTCTGAAAATTCAGTGCTTGGCTTTCAAGATGTATAAGGCATTCATTTCCAACCCCAGTGGTTCATGTAATATTAGCTACTGAGATCATGTCTGCATTGAAGTGAATTGTGTGAATTACATTACTTGTCTATTTAAATATGACATATAAATTGCAGACATCTTCACATTCCGAGAGCAAGAACAATTCCGTATGCAAAAACAAATAATGTAAAAATACGTATAAATAAATTTGGGGCTTTTTGTGCTGTTGCAGTGGAATGCATATCTTTTCCCATAGTTTCCTTCCACAGATTAAAGGATGCAATCAATATAATTGCAGCTTTAACCAGGAGGAATTCCACAAAAGGGGAGTGATTGCTACTAGCTTTTTACAGCTGCCATTAGGAGGTTTAGGAATGAGTTAAACAGGACAAACCTGTTACCTGTTCCTTGGTAAGGATTACAGTCCTTGGGTCTCTTAGAGAATCTAACCTGGGATATTGGTCACGGACCATTAGTATAAATATGGTATATTTTGTCACTGAGGATTAAAAGCAACATGTTAAATTCTCATTCAGATAATCGTATTGGACCAGGTGTGTTGTAAACAAGCTTTAGTATAGGTCAGTGCGTTTCCTTTTAGAAAAGGGAAATTTGGGAGTATTGAATGTCCACGCATTTACATATGCTTTTCTAGGTTTGAGTCGTTACAGAGAGACAGAGAAAACACCAGTGTTATCTATAATGTTTCTCTGTTGGGTTTCTTTTTTTTTAATTGCATGGGTATGGAGTTTAGTGTCTAGAAAATAATTAGTTTACATCCTCTTTAGCCACTCATTTCTTGGTTGTACCTATCTAACTCCCTTGGACGTTGACCAGAATCATAAAAAATCAAAGCTGTCACGCAGATTCTGTTTATATTGCGGGTTTGGGGGGTTTTCTGGTTTTCTTTTTTACAATTTTGTTCCACTTCTTTCTGATATTTTGGCTACTCTGCCCTCTCAAGCACAAGCCTGCTCCTCCATTTTTCTTCAGCTGTTGTCCCATCCTTCCATTCAAATCTATATTAATCCACTCTCTAATGAGTTTATTTGTGTTAAGGACCCATATGCAATGTGCAGACATACCCAGTAAGCCTTCTGTTACACACATGCACATGATTTGGATCATTGCATTTGTTTCTAATGAAATCATGGAGGCTTTGTGGAGTTTTGAAGTCCCATGGAGGACTCTTATAAAGTCTTTTATACAATTGCATGTGTGGTTGAAGGACTTTCAGGAATACATAGGTTGTGTACATCAGATGAATTTAAGAAATCTTTGTCTGGTAAAATCTTTTGGATAGACTAGAGAAACTAGCCATACACAATGAAGTCCATCTAGCCTAGGCAAGATAAAACATCCTGGTTTGCAAACACAAAGCTAAACAAAGTTTTGCTTGGTGGGGAGCCAGCTTTAACCTTGAAAGCTTTTTATAGTGGGGGGAAGAATCCTATGGAAACTCCTGGACAAAAAATGGTGTTAAATTGGAAAGGAAGGGAAGAGAAGACAGAATCAGAAACATATACAGAAATAAAACCTTAAAAGAATACCTGGATTAGCATAGTATTTGGTCAGGTTGAATTTATTTTGTTAGTAGTACTGTAAAATTGTTGTATCAGTTGTTAAACATGTGTAATCATTCATATTATCCTGAAATTCTGTCTGTTCACCCTGAATAGCAAGCCACGCGTGGCAAAAAAAACCCCTCCCTTTCATGCTAGAAGTCCATCTTGAACTTGGTGCCAGTACCTCCATCCCCCCCCCCCC